ATCTATCTATCTATCTATCTATCTATCTATCTATCTATCTATCTATCCATCCATCCATCCATCCATCCATCCATCCATCCATCCATCCATCCATCCATCCATCCAAATTTAATTCAAAGTGTTCCAATCGTAAAGTTTGTCTTGTGTCTTGTGTTTGGAAACTTTTTTTAAATTACATGTAGAAAGTCGGATTAAAAATAAAGTTGAAGCCTGGCTTGTGTGTGTGTGTGTGTGTGTGTGTGTGGGGGGGGGGGGGGGGGGGGGTGCATCAGAGGAGACTTAAAAACAGCAGCTTGGAGAATAATTTCCCCCTCTGAATACATTATGCGTAATTTTGGAAAGATGGTGCCAATTACGCATGTAATTGACCCGGACACTCTTCATGTAAAATAAGGTTTTGAAGTGCGCATCGCCAGGACGATTATAGAAACCCACCTGCTGTTGCTCCCATGGCTGTGCGTGCGTGTGCGCGAGCACGAGGTCCCGGACTTTGAGGATAAACTGTTTTCTCAAACATCTAATATTTAAACAGCAATTAAAACCCTGTAAGGTTTTTTTTTTCAAGAATTCGAGAAGAAATGGTTTAAAAAAGGCCCATGAGGAATATTTCTTGGTTTATTTCACAACATGATTCAGCAGTACAATATCAAAACGTTGTTTGTTTGTTTTTTTTCACTGTACAAATGAGAAGTCACGAGGAATCTCCTCCTCTGTGTTTCCCGTTAAATATATACATTTACATTTTTTTACACAATTAAAGTCCGTTTTTTTTCTTTCTCTTCCTGTTCAAAGAAGCAAAGAGATTTGTGCTTGAATGACCTGTGAATTAAAACATAAATGAGGACTTTACAGCTATAGGGTGTCTTGATTGTCCCCTCGTCAAAAGAGACCAAATCGCGAGGAGGGGTGGCATGAATAAATGACAAAACATGTGGGTTCAGTCATTCACAGCCCACAGTCGGTGTATTGCACATCATCATGTCATCAGATCAGGTAATGTAAGTAAAAATCAAATGAGAGTGTTCGATGAGAAGTAGGTCGTTAGTTTTCTGTAAACAAGGTCGCTTTGTATCTTACACCCAGCTGGCCTGTCAAGCAGCAAACATCTGAGCAATTATTTATTTTAATTGTCTAAAAAGGAATAAAGACGTGAGTGAACTCCTGAGATGATTACATTAATAATAATAACAATAATAATAATAATAATAATAATAATAATGATAATAATAATAATGTGTAAACGGAACCATTTTGGTAGATTTTTCTGGCAAAATAAGTTTGCTTGCTTGACAATGACAGCCTCCTTTTTTTTTCTTTTTCTTTTTTTTTACAGTTGTATAAAAATATTGTCTTTTTTTTTTTTTTCTTCTTCTTCTGTTCTGATAAGTTATGGGACACGCACCTGTGCCACGCGCTCTGCTCTCAGACGGGTCTGAGCAGCGGCACAGATGTCACGAGGGGATGGGAGTAGTACACGCCGGGGTGCGGGAAGGACAGCAGCGGCTGGCTCGCGGACACGTTGGCGGCGGCGCCCGCGCCCTCCGAGGCAGAGTTCTCGTGGTAGAGGATGGGCACGCGGACTATCCTCTGCGCGGCGGCGTGGCTCAGGTTGGCGGCCTCCAGCTCGGCGGCCAGCTGCCTTTTCCACTTGTTCCTCCGGTTCTGGAACCAGATCTTCACCTGCGTCTCGGTCAGGTGGAGGGACGCGGCCAAGCCCGCGCGCTCCGAGCTGCTCAGGTAGCGCTTCATGTCAAAGGTGGACTCCAGCTGGAACACCTGGCTCCTGGAGAACACCGTGCGCGTCTTCTTCTTGCGGCACGGCTTCTTGTCGTCGTCCCTCTTCTTCCACTCGTCCAGCTCGTCCTTCTTGGCCTCCTCCGCGTCGCTCTCCTCCAGGATGATCTCGTCGCTGCTCTTCGTGTTGTTGTGCTCGTCGTCCTCGTCCTCGTCTTTGGCGTCCGGCTCGGATTTAAGCACCAGGTCTGGAGAGTCTCTGTCGGTGCCGGAGGTTGGAGAGGAATCTCTGACTGCTGGTTTCTCCGTAACTGTTTGGAGGACGCATTCAGAGAAATGGGTTGTTAAAAAATATAAATAAATAAATGTGTTTAAATGTTTATTTCTGTTCACTCAGATGAAATGGTATCATTAAGAAAATAAAATATCTGCGTCGTGGGCATAAAGCATAACGTGACCGATAAGTAATGTCAAATACTTTAATAAACAAAATAATATGATGGATTAATTAATTAATTAATTAAACAAGTAATCCCAATCAAGTGGCGCAATGTTTTCGCTTTTATTTCCACCTTGCATGACATTTTCGTGACGCCTGTTCATATCACAATCCCACATGAATAAATCATAAAAACAGGGAGGTAAAATAAAATAAAAAATAAGGGGGGGGGGGGGGGGGTGCTGTCAGTGACTGAGCCTCAGGGGTAAGATGTGCAGCAGAAGCGCAAACAGACAAATCAAAAGCAAGCTGCGCATCGTCACCCTCGTCCAATCATGTCTGCTTCATTTTATGCACAGCGTGTTACTTTATTGATCTATTATCCCATAACAAAACAGGCCTGAGAGCTGCTAAATCCCCGCACGCGCAGCTACAAGGCAGTGGGATTAATAAAACATGGAGCAAAATAATAGAAATTAAGGAAGCGTCTGCTGTATGAGGAGGAAGTTTGGACTTTCAGGTTAAAGTCTTATTTTACGCGATTCTTTTATTTATTTACTGCTATTTTTAAGAATTCAACCCCCCCAGATGAATTAAGTGTCCCATCTTTACCTTCGCTCCTGTGCAGATGAGCAGCTGAGCTGAGGGTGTAGGGGTACCACCACGCCGAGGTGCGCTCCAAGTAGTGCGCCGGTAAGGTGAATCTCTGCGCGGGCACGTCGAAGCGCGGAAAGCTGAACCCTTCCACCTGAGAAAGGGAAAATCCTCCCTCCAGGGCCGCCTTGGTGGCAGTCAGCGTGGGTTTGGGCTTGGACGGTTTATCACAGTTCAGCAGGTTCTTAATGAAGAAAGGCGAGTCCTTGGCCGGAGTCTCTTGCGTCGTCTCAGGCATGGCTGCGGGTGCGTCTGAACGCGGAGCTCCACGAAAGCAAAAACCAAAACAATAAATAAAATAATTATAATAAAAAGCAGCTCACTTACAGGCTGTGGATTTACCAACTGTGGGGAGTTCCTGCTTAAAAAAAAAAAAAAAAAAAAAAAAAAAACTCGATTTCGCACCCAGAGAGCGCGCGTTAAAGCGCACTTCCTTCTAGGATCGGAAAGAGAACAAAATCAAGTGTTGGGGAAGAAGACATGTAGGAGCATGTCACATCCCGCAGTGTTCCGTCAAAAACCCCGAGTCCGGCGTGTCAGTCAGTCTGGCGTCTGATGCTAATGATGAAATAAAAATGTCATCCAAGTTAAATGCGGAAAGTATAGGCGATTGGGCATGTACAATGGCAAATGGGATTAAGGGAGAGACGGTGAGGGGAGGGAGAGGAGGGGAAAAAAAAAGAGGGCGAGTTGGTCCTCCCCTCGCCGTGCGCTCCGGCTGCAGGCTGCGCGCGCGCGCCCCTGTTATTGGTCTCATTCAGTCCAATTAGCAGCAAACCAACAAGGAAGGTTTGGAAGCCAAAGTGTCCGAGCAGACACCAAACGCGACAGTGAGCGTCAGATTACAACTTCGTTTCCTTTTGGTTTAAAATTCACTTTTTCATTCTTTTATTTTAACATTTAAAAAAGTTTTGAAACCGTCCTTTGCTCTGAAGTGTGTAAAGACACCAGTTAACCGAGGCCTAAAGTGTGTGCTTGTCTTTTATGTCTTTAGTAAAAAAAAAAAAAATCTATTGATAATAATAAATAAACAAAAATAAAAATTTATTTAAAAACAAACCAAAAATAATAATTGGACTTCTGTATGGGTTTGAGATAGCTGCACAGGCCACTGTGTTCACAGTTAGTAAATGTATTAATCAATAATCACATCCTTGATATTTCCTAAATGACCAAAGTATCAAGATCACGAGATTACGCACTCCTAAATCTGCATTCTTGTGTCGAATTATTATTATTTTTAATCAAATTTGATCATAATAAACCGGCACTTTGAGTGTTAAATGTTCCACTTTCTTTTTCTGCTCCCACTCCTAGCCACGACATGAAAAAGCTCTGTGATCAGACTGTAGCCCCTCAGCGTGTCACCAATGGGCGATTAGATTCATATTTCTAATGCATCGATTTCCAGCAGGGACACTTCCACCATGTCTGCCGGTCGCACAGTCATTTATGATTTTTTTTTTCCCTTATCCCTAATCGATTTTGTTAATTCATTCCTCAGATTGCACTCTTAGTAAATGTGCTATGTATATTCACTCATTGATATTAATTGACTTGTTAAAAAGCTGCGCCGACGCTCTGAGCTGGTAACAAACAGAGAGACAGCGCCCTCTGTCGGCCATAAGGAAGAACGACACGTGAGGAGAACATGATGAGCCTGATTTGGAGACAGGAGTGACATCAGTACAGTGATGCTGAAAATCATTGTGTCGTATTCATCCCTCTATTGTCACTGTTTAAAAAAAAGTATCATTAACAAGTTTTCCTCATATTTTTAGAATAATTTATATTTTTTCATCAAGAATAAAATAGGTCAAAAAGCAAAGAAAAATAAATCTTATTCCAACAAGAAAAGGTCACCAGGCTCACATTGTACTTTACTGTTTGTTTAGCTTATCTGTGCTCTATACATTACATTTTTTACATAAAATGGCTGAATAATTTAGTAAATAAAATAATAAAATAGAGAAATAGAATTTTCTGTAAAAAAAAAGAAAAACTGCATTTCAACACTGAGTGATGAACGACTCAAATACATTTTGTTGAAGAATGAGCTGTTAAAAATGAAAAAGACAGAGCACAATTAAAAATTAACAAAACAGTAGCTAAAATCTAAAATTTGCCAAACTAGCTAATATCCCAAGCTAGCAAAACTGTAGCTAAAAGGTCAAATTAACTAATTGTAGGTCATAGCTTAAATTAGCAAATGAGGAGCTAAAAGAACAAACAATAGCAAAACTGTAGCTTAAAGCTAAATGTTGCAAAATTGAAGGTTAAAAACTGCCAGTGGCACAAATAGCAAAAAATAAAACCATAGCAGTAGCTAATATCTAAAATTAACAAATCCAAAATTAGTATGAGAGTAGTTAAAAGCTAACATGAGCACAAGAAGACAAAAATAAAGCTATGATGATTTAGACTTCAGAGAAAAATGGTTCTGAAGAAATTTAGGATATCTTGGGTGGGGGTGGGGGTGTGTAAATAAAGTTAAATAATTTAAAAAGTATAAAAGTGAAATGAAAGTCCTAAGGCAATCTTTGTGATGGAGTGAAAAAAATTCTAAAATAGCAAAAGTAGAAGTATTTGATTGCAAAATAAATACAGAAAAACCTTCACTGGAAAATCATGGTGAGAATGCTGAATCAGCATTTACATAAAAAGACCCGAGCTCTCCTGTAAGTCCGTGTTTTGTCAAAATACAGGCGTGGAAGGAGACACTACAAAATGAAGGTCTACATGTGACAAATCTTGCTATTAAAAGTGCTTTAGTGTGCAGATTATGACCAACTTTTTTATTCCTTAATACCAAATATTAGCACAACACTCTTCTAACAGCATCCTATAGAAAAAAAAACAGAATAGTTTTGTTTTTCTTTTACATATACAGAGATCTTCACATCTGCTGGATGGAAGAAAAAAAAGTCTTGTTCTTATTATGCATTGATTACAAGCACGCAGTCACCGTTGCCCACAGGCCATTTAGGGCCACTGAGTGTTCCATAAGTCTATTTTTGTTGCTCCTCGGGTAGGTTACTACGGCTTTTATATTATTTATTTCAAAGCACCCAGATATTGATTATTTCACAAGGAAAAATGACAAATGGCAGGAGGGAATGACACGGTCAGCAGGTTCTATTAGAGAAATGATAGTGTTGCTCATGGTTTGGTAAAAGGTCCAGTTTAGATACTTTATAGGTTTACATCCATCATCGTCTAATGACCCATTTGATGAAAAAAACGCGCTCTGGTGACAACAGCCCTGTGCAGCCAACTTTGCTCTGTAATTGCTCCCATATTAAATATAGATTTTTGTTTTGATATCTTGTGAGAATTTCTTTCTGTGGGCCTGAATTGTGATAAAAGACGATAGCAAAAGCTCAGAGAGAGAAAACTGGATTGGGGAAAATAGGTAACTAGAAGATGTTGACAGTGAGAGTGTGAGTTTGTTGTTGGGAGTTTAGACCATGTTAGAGGAAAATATCAGATCTTTTTTTTAATTCATGCTAAAGAACACAAGGTAAAACTTCAGTAGTACAGTAAATATATGCAGGTGTCAAGATATATTATTCAGATAATTTTCTTAAGTATGGTATTTTTTGAGATTCAAGTAAAGCAGTAATCATATTTTTTAGATTTTTGTTGTTTTGTTGACTGTATGAGAAGCATACAAACAATTTCACTTACAGTCCTTTAATGGCAATGGAGTTAAGAAGAAATTATGTTTCCTTGCTCTGATTAAAGTGTTGATTTAAAAAATAAAAAAAAAGCTTGAATTTCAATAAAAAGTAATTATAGTGGTCAAATGTGCAAGATTGTTTCCAAGACAGAAGGAATAATGTGCAAAATATAAATAAATAAAAAAACATGTTTTTTTTTTAGCAGACAACATATTGAATCTCGTTGTTTTTTTATGTAAGTCAAATAAAAATTGTGAAGTAAATGTGTACTAATTTTGTTTGCAGTACAAATTTGCATGAAAAGCTTTAGATAATCTAAAGGAATCTCTGAACACAATAAAGAAAAGTGAAAATCAGAAGTGAAATAGCTCAAAGAGTCTGGATGATGAACTGTGAGACTGTCGGCCCAGATTTGTTCCAACTAACTCTGAACTGCTGAACAGCTGAACTTCAGCCTCAAGGAGAACACGGGGACTTGCTTTAGCTTTCAAAACTAGCTGCGTGTGGAGGAATAAACAGGATAATAATTAATAATTCCTGCCACGATGTTTTGCAAACAAGCTGCATGCATCAAATTCAGAATGAATTTACATTCAAACAAAAATCATCTTAGATTTCATCATTTTTTTATTTTATTTTTTGTATCCACAGCCAAAAGAAAAAGTGCATTAATAGTGTTAGCAACATATCTTATTAACCAGTGGACAGATTTTAATGAAAGTCTCAGAACATCACCACTGGAGGTACTTCTGATTACCTTTTGGAGTCTCTACAATTCAAGATGGCTGCCACAGCAAGTGGAACTTAAAAAGCACAAACGTGACTTTAACTCAGCCACTTTTTCAGATATTGAGCTAAAATGTGGGGTGGTAGTAGCTGACAATCATCTCCATCACATAATCAGAGCACTTGTGCACATTGTGCTTTTTTTTTTTTTTTTTTTTTTGCTTAAACCATGAATAACTACTGACATTAATCTGTTAGCAAAATATCCCTTGAACCACCGGACAAATTTTAATGAGACTTTTAGAAAGTATTTATTAGACTTACATCTAAAACTGATTATCTTTTGGTTTCAGGCCCACTCAAAATGATCACCACAACTAACTGAACCTTGCAGGCACATAAATTGCTATAACTTAGTCAGTTTTACAGATATTGTTCTAAATGCTTGTGTGGTGGAAGCTGAGAGCCATCCTCAACTCATATAAGTGCTAACACATGATGCAAGATTGCATAATATCAAGCAAAACATCATTTAGAAGGCTCATCGCAAACTATTGCAGGAAAAGGCAGTGGGTGATATGCATTCATTCAAGGAATGCTAGACTCTTATTTTGTTTTCATACATTTTGTATTTAACTGAATGACAAAAAGATTTTAGCTGCTTTTGCAAATGCTTTGCGAAAAGCCTCAATATTTTGGAAAACGTTACCTTATTTTTCGGACTATAAGGCGCACCAGATTATAAGGCGCAACATCAATGAACGGCTCTGTTTTCATACATAAGGCGCATTAAGTGAAACAAAACAGTCAGATAAGTCAAACTTTATTCAACTCATTCACAATAACCACATAAAATAGGTTCAAGGTCAGTAAGCACAACCAAAATTAATACATGAGGCACACCTGATTATAAAGCTCACTGTCAACTAAAGTATT